CGGGAGACCCTTGAAGGCGCCAGGCGTGATGAAGGACAGGTTGTTGTGGCGCAGCGACAGGCGGCGCAAGGACGGCAGCGTGCCGAAGGCCCGCTCGCCCAGGATGCGCAGGCCGTTCCGGTCCAGGTCGATGGAGGCCGCCTCGCACGGGAACTCGGTGGGCACCCGCTGGAGGCCCGCGCGGTCGCAGCGCACCGAGCAGCCGCGCTCCACGCTGCTGCAGGTGCAGGCCGCAGGGCAGGCCTGCAAACAGGCCTCGGTGGCCCGCGTGCCAGGCAGGCCGAAGACCACCGCTGGACAAGACAGAGAACAGTAGTCAGAGGTCGCCCCCGCAGCAGGTTGCAGACCCTCCACCAAGTCCGGCATCGCCAAATGGCCCCTTCCCATCTGCTCACCAACACAGGTTTTCCCACCTCCAGTGCCCTCCCCTTCGCTTTCCTGTTAGCTTAGTAGGCAAAATCTCTGCTATAGTCCCCGTGTCCCACTTTTCTCCAAGTTTCCTTACCTGTATCATCACGGTATGCTTTTAGAATGTAACTAGAAGGTTTTGGGTGGGTGGGTGGGGGAATCTCCGAGGATGTCACTGCACCCTACATTAAGGCCTGTGCTGCTCAGTGCAGTGGCCACTAGCCACATGGGCCCCGAACTATCTGCAATATGTCGAACCCAAAATGAGTAATACAAGTATATAGAGGGTGTCAAAAAAGTAAAATACTACCTCAACAATTAACGTATGGGTTACATATTGAAATGGTGTTTTATATGATACATTGGGTTAAATATCAAAGTTGATGTCAAGTGTTTCTACCTTTTTTGAATTTATTTGTATTTTATGTATCAGTGCTATGCATATATCCCTGCAGGCCAGAAGAGGGCATCAGATCTCATTATGGATGGTTGTGAGCCACCATGTGGTTGCTGGGAACTGAACTCAGGACCTTTAGAAAGAGCAGCCAGTGCTCTTAACCGCTGAGCAATCTCTCTAGTCCCGTGTTTCTACCTTTTTAATGTGGCTATATTTCTATTGGTGTCATTGGCCCCTTTCACCATAAGAATTCAATTTTCAAGCCGGGCGGTGGTGGCGCACGCCTTTAATCCCAGCACTCGGGAGGCAGAGGCAGGCGGATCTCTGTGAGTTCGAGGCCAGCCTGGGCTACCAGGTGAGTTCC